TTTCAAACAATTTAGGTTTAAATCAGGAGGCTGATTTCAGACACTTTAGGGCCTGTGTATTTTTTCTTAGCAGTCACTTTTCATTTAAAAAATGAGATTGGCTGATTTCTTAGTTTCATTTCTTTCATGAAGATTTAGGACTTCCTTGTTGGCTCAGATGGTAAAGCGTCTGCCTACAATGTGGGAGGCCCGGGTTCAATCCCTGGGTCGGGAAGATCTCCTGGAGAAGGAAATGGCAACCCACTCCAGTAATTCTTGCCTGGAAAATCCCATGGACAGAGGAGCTTGGTAGACTACAGTCCATGGGATCACAAAGAGTCAGACACAACTGAGCAATTTCAGTTCACTTCACTTAAGCTGGTTGCTCCAAGAGAAGGATCCAGAGCCTTTTCCAGTAGAGACCTGGGCCTGCTGACTGCCAGCTAACGCCAGCTCAGTGTTTGACTGTTGTGTGACCCCGAGAGCTGGTCTTGTCACTCCCAGAGTCTTCCTTTCTCCTTCCACCTAGGGGAGCATAATTCCTGCCCTTCTCCCTTCTAGTAAGGACAAAGATGTCCATACTAGACATTTTTGTCTGGTAGAAATGAAATAGAAATGAAAAGTACCGAGGAAAGGTAAATGTACTATACAAACATCAAAGGCTGGAGCAAAGAATAACATGGTGTTTTTCACCAGCAGAATGTAGATTCCTAGAATCAGCGTTACAGTTAGGAAAGAACCTGGAGGTCAAGGAACCCACCCCTTCCTCATTTTATAGATGGGATCCATTCTGAGCTGGAACAGAGGAGGATTCCAGGGGAAGACTATAGTTAGAATCTAGATCCCTTTACAAACCCCTTCTTTCTTTCTCTGCTTATTTTGGAGACCAAAGGAGATCAGACCAAGAGAGGCTGTATTTGTATGTACACATACACACCCTGGAGGTGCTCCAGAATATGGGGGAAACCCAAGTCCCCGGAGGCAGCCAGACCTGCTCTTTGATCCAAGCCCAGCCTGCCTTTTACCATCTATGTGACCTTGAACAAGGTTCTTCACCTCTCTGAGCCTCACCTGCCTGAGGATTAACCTCTTAAGGCTTGAATGAAATAATACATGCTAAGGGCTTAAATAACGTCCTTAATAAAATTTAACTTTTTTTTTTCAATAAAAAGACTACATTTACTGTGTGGAAGGAATAATAAGCCCTTCAAGACAGATATTTACTATTGTATGTTAACTGGTGATGATTATTAGGAATCTCATTCATTATTTATACCCACAGTGCCAAGCACAAGGTGGATGCTCAATTAATGCACGTTGAATAAACAGTGTACTGAGAATACCCTGGCCACAGGAGAAATTAGAAGGAAGTTTCAGCTTAATTTTTATTGCAAAAATAATACTTATTCATTGTATAAAAATACATATATACATATATGGCTAAGCAGGAGGAAAAGTCAAAATTATCCTTATTCCTACAATTCAGAGGTAGAGGTGTAAATGTTTTGGTGTACAGCTATCCACGTTTTCTCCATGAATGATATTTATGTATTTATTTTTATGTAAAGCAGGTTACTAACAGTCTTCAGTAAACTAAGAATGTTTTATTTTCCCTCAGTTATATCAAGAACAATCTCTGTATCAATTATATTTTTTCTTAGGGGCTGAGTAGTAACCCACTGATGGATTTATTTAACCAGTTGTGTAATTATAACACTTTGGAGATCCCTCTATCCGTTTCACTCTTTAGTAGACTAGTTCTGTGCTTAAAGCTTTATAACATCAGTATTTTCTTACAGCAAACTCCTGGAATTTACTTTGAAGTTAGTGATCATACTCCACTCCCCGTTTAAAAAAAAAAAAAAAACGATGTCCTTAATTCAAATTAATAATGATACCATCTGTCACAGCCAGGTGGAGGTAGGTTTCCCAGAAAAGGCGCTGAACCCTGGGAGAGAATGAGAAAGTAAAAGGCAGGCTCCAAAGCTACTCCATGGAAATGGAGCTAATGACGGAGGAGAGGGTTGAGAGCCCGGTGTAGGAAGGTCTGGACCCCTGGTGAAGAAGGTCTAGAGCCTTCAGCGAAACTGGTTCGTGAAACCCGGAGTAACTCAGCTCTGCCCAGGGGGCTCTGCTTTTGCAGCTGGGAGTGAAGGCTGGAAATGTGGCCCGAGGGTTCCAGGCGATGGAGTTAAGTCCTAGGGAAACTGAGAGGACATCCCAGGGACCCCCTCAGTGGGCACTGGCTGGCCCTGTGTCTCCCGGGTGCCAGGTCTGAGATCAGGACCAGACGTGACTGGGACCGATGTGAGGTACTCAGCTGTCTTCTCCAAGAGGGTTTGCGCCCAGCGGGATGGGGTTTTCGGAGCAGGCTGCCGCGGTCGGTACCCCTCGGTACCCCGCTCTCCTTTAACTGGACGGGGCTTCGAGAAAGCAGGACCGGGTGCGCATTCTTCCCGTGCCTTGGATACTTCATGGTGCTAAAAATAGTCGCGGGCGGGGTACTCCGTGTATAGCGAGCTGATGGTCTGTAAACTCAACTGGAGTCCTGGGTTCAAATCCAGAAAAGGTCCCCTCCGTGCCGGGGCACCTCCATCGGCTTGCTCCCAGAGTCCCAGTTTCCCTGTGCGTGCCTGGATTTCTAAGGCGCTTCCCAGCCCTCGGAAAGAAAATTTAAAAAAAGAAAGCTCGATTTTTCTTTCCTGCTCCTCCCTGAGGGGCTTTGGGGCCTCAGGCCGTGTATCAGGGCCGCGCAGCTCATTACCGCGAGGTGCTGCCCTAGTTAAATCGCGGGCCTGTTTGATCTGGCGGCGGGTGGCGAGAGGGAATAAAGAAAAAAGTAGGGGACTCAGAGTAAAGAGAAGCTCACACCTCCGCCGCCGTTTCCTCGCGCCCATAAAACACCTTTTATTAACTCCTTCGCGTCCGGAAAGGCCCCCGTGGCCGCTCAGCCCTGCCACGGGTGTTTACAGCTCAAACTAATGGGGCCCCATATTCACCCCGATGCGGGTACGAGGCGCCTGGAACACGCCTGGCCCCGGCGCTGCCCGAGTCTCCTTTCTAGGCCCCAAGCTCCGGCCTCCAGCTCCGGATGTGGAGCGGGAACGCGCCGAGAGACCCGCGCACGGGCGTCCTGGCTCCTGGCTCGCAGAGCGCGTCGGAGACCTGCCCGCACTGCAGAGTATGCGTTCGCTCCCGCAATCGTGAGATAACAAAAGCGCTGAGTACAGAGCCTCGCACACAGTTGGCACAAACCAAACTGGCTGTCTGTACACTAATATTCAGGGACAGAGACGCCAGCATTTGGCCGCCCAGTTCAGCCCGGCACGCATCCGAGCCTTGACAAATGCAGCCAGTTTTATTTTCACCCTCACACCTAGCCGTGGAGGCCCACGTGGAGGCTCAGAAACCGCCGCTCTCCTCCGAGGACCCGAAGTGTGCGAGTTAGCCACCACGCCCCTCACCCCGTCCTTTCGCACGAATCCGTATACTCGCAGGAATACTTGTTGAGTGCTTTGCTGCTAGGGGGAAATGCCTCACAGCGATCACGAGCACTCACAAACTCCCCTTCCTCACGTCTCAGATCAGAACTGCTCCGTCTTTTCGAGGCCTTACAGGGCGCTGGGTCTGTGCCCCGCAGCCGTTTGTCGGCCCCACCTCAGCCACGGGGCTCCGTGTGAGTTCTTGCACCAAGGCACAAACTATTATTGTAGGTTCATAATTTCACAGAAGTGAAAGTATTCCGGAGGGCATTCCCCTCTTCCGAGCCACCCTGCCCTTGTGTAGCCTCTCGTTTGTGTGACAGGCCCCCTTCCCAATCGCCCCAAGCCGCCGATGGCAGACACCGATGTGCAACACCCATTCACAGACAGGCCCAAATGCTGGCCCACAGAAATTCTAGCCTGTCATATCTAGGTCTAATTCACTTCCAAGTTTCCCTTCTTTAGGTTCACTATAGCTATCATGTCTCCCCATCATCTTCTAAGGAGAACTTTGCTTTTTATACCAGGAGTAAATTCTTTATCTGCCCCCTTCCCTTGATTTAATTTGCAGTTTGGTTTGACATTTATCACAGGAAAAAAAAAGAAGTAGGAACAGGAGGTTCTCCAACTAGCAGAAACGATGGAGAAGACCGGGGATAGCCGCCAATATATCACACAGGCTTCTGCTGATTTCAAAAAATGTTTTATTAGTCAAGAGCATAGATACTGCTTTGGCAAAAGGAGGGGACGGTGAGTGGTCATATAGATTTGAGGTAGAAAAAGGGTGGGGATGAGGGAATTAAACACCTGAGCAAAGCAGGCATGGTAGGTAGTTTAAATACATAAAAACTTTTCAACATAGGGAAAAGTTTTTATTTACAAAGGAAGGAAGGAGGGGAAAGGAAGAAAAGAGCCGTTTTCCTTGGAACTAAGTAGGAAGCGCAGTGACAAAAAATAAAATACAATAAAAACATCACTGTTTGAGGAAAAACAACAAAGGCAGCCCTTTCATCTTCCTGGTTTGGTTCTCTTTCCCTGGCAGAAAACTATTGATTCCTCTTATTGCATTTTAATTAGGGAGGAGAACGCGTGCGCGGACGCGCGGAGGGTTTTGACGCGAAGCCGAGAGGGGCGCGAGAAAGAAAGGCAGATAGTGGGATGGGGAAGGCGTTAGGGGTCCTGATTTCGCCCCAGAAGGGTTGGAAGGTTACGTCCTAGCGTGCTTGGGTCTCGCAGTCCTTCCTTCTCGAATCGTGCAGCCAAGAGCCGCCCTCTCGGTTGCCGTGGGGGTGGGGATGGTTTTATATATATATATATATATTTCTCTTTCTCTTCATGTATTAAAAACAATTTCAAATGACATTGCACGTGCGATTGAAGTGTGTAGTTGCAGCCGGCGACCTGCCAGCACGCAGCGGAGGCTAGGCGGGATGCTCCCGTAGGACCCTGGCACCCGGAGCCGGGCACGGGCCTCCGCCTTCTCTCCTCCCGGGCTCTGGGTCGGGCAGCCGTGGCGGGATCCTCGGCGCAGGCCCCGGCTCACGGGTTTAACTCCAGCGCCCAGACTTGCTGCGGCCAGCCTGTGCGCCCTTTAATCCTCTTCTCGCCTGGGCCCGGGGCAGGAGGAAAGCCTTCGTGCTGCTGCTGCCAGAGGACACACACAAGAGAAGGGGCGAGAGAGACAGGTTTAGACGCTTCTGCTCCGCTCGCCCAGGCGCAGAGTAAAGGCAGGGGTGGGGTGAGAGGTGCTGGGAGCAGCGCCTGGGGGCCTTTAAATAGGTGACGAGTTTTTGTTTGCAAAATAGGCAAACAGGCTCATAAATTTGCCTCTATGCGCCGAGTTCCCGGGGGACCCGGATGGGCTGGGCAGCTTCTGGGGGGTTGGTAATGAGAATTTCCTGCGGCTGGTGAAACTGTTGCTCGGAGCTTTGGCTTTATGGCGCCGAAGGGGGACTGCAGGGTTTGGGATGGGAGGGGTGGCAATCAACACTTTCCTCGCTCGCGGACCTGCACCGGCGACACATCCACCGGCTTTTCTCCTTTAGCGCCTGAGTATGGATACCGGGCTGGGTTCCTCCAACCGGCTCTGGGCGCTCAGAAGTCTCCTCGAATGAGGGAGGAAGTCGGTCTGGCCTAGCATCCCTTTTCCCGGCTACTCGAAGAAGGCAGCGATATGCAGGGGGTGGGGATACGCCCAATAACTACTTCCAACCAGGCATCCGGATCCCCGGGCCTGCACCTCTTCCAGCCCAAGGCAGTGGTTTAGAGATTCGCTGACCACGGTTTTTCCCAGTCTCCCGAAGTGACTTCCCTATATTAGCACAGCTCTTGCAGGTGAGAGAAAACCCAGGGGGCTCTCTAGTCAACTCCAACGAGCGGTGGTCCCCAGGGCACCAATCTAGAGAAACTAGGTGGGTTCCCCAGGCTGGGAATCACTGTCTTCAGAGGCCCCAGAGCCCTGGGCCAGGGAAACTGACCTCCAGAAATTGTCACTGGAGAGAATCCAGAAAGGCCTAGTAGGGACTGGGATCTCCAAAGCCAAAAGAAGTCGTCAAGGTGACTGAGGAACCAGCGGTGGCGAGTGGGGAGCAGGGAAACGTCCTCTGGACAGAGAATAAACTGACTTATTCTACCGAAGTAAACAACTCCTTGGGTAGGTGGCCTCCACATCCTGTCCAACTCTGGGCCTCAGTTTCCCTATGTACAATGATGAAAATAGACCAGCCTCTTCAGCAAAGATCTTTTGAAAACAGCAGCTGAGCGCATATGCATAAATTCACATTCCGGCAAATTTAAGTAACAAACTCCTACAGCATTCTTAACCTGGCTTCCAGGAGAACCCAGGGACGAATCAGGACCCCTCGAAAATGTAAGTGAAATATATGGTGTGTGCATTTTCTCGGGGTCTGAAGCTTCCAATTGACTCTTAAAAGGGACCCTATGATCATGTCCGAAAAGGACGAGGTTCCGTCTAAATTCACAGTCTTACAAACACTACCGCATTACATATGAATTCAAACATGAATCTACCTCCCTTCACGCAAATAATCCCACAGTTCGACCGTCTCAGAACTCCCCGCAGCCTCTCAAAACCTTACGCGGGGCGAGGCAGACTCCTTCCACTGCGTATTCGGCCTGCGGGTGCTCATTGCGCCCGCGTCCTTGGCTAGAGCACGCAGGCCCCCCGGACTTACCAGCTCTCTTTTCCGCTTGCTCTCGCGGCCGCCATCCGCCTTCTTCAGTTCGGCCTTGAAGGCCTCGGGATCGCCGGCCTGTGCGTCCTTGGCCAACACGTCCATCAGGTAGGCGATGTAGCTGGTGGCCAGGCGCAGAGTTTTGATCTTGGAGAGCTTGGTGTCCGCCGGCACGTTGGGGATACACTCGCGCAGCTCCGCGAACGCGCTGTTAATGCTCTCTGTGCGTCTCCGCTCCTTCTTGGGTCCTGAGCCTTTCCGCCGGCCCAGGCGGCCGCCGAGCGCCTCTAGCCGCCCGGGGCTCTGGCCGGGCCTGGCGTCTGGACCGTAGGAGGCGGCGGCTGCCGCGGCTGCGGGCGGTGGCCCGCCGGCGGGGAAGTCCGGGGCGGCGTCAGCGGGGCTCAGCAGCCAACTCTGGAAGTAGGGCCGCTCCTGGTGACAGCGCGAGGCAGGGCCGAAGAGGAAGGGCTCGTGGAGCATGGGGTGCGCGGGGTGCGGATGGTGATGGTGGTGATGGTGGTGATGATGTGCGTAGCTGCCCACGAGGTTCATGTTGGAGCGGCCCCTGGCCTGCGCCGCCAGCCCGATTAGCGCCGCCCCATGCGCCCCAGAGACTGCCGGGGCCACCCGTGGGCTCTGGGGCGGCGCTCTGGTAGGCACCGGCTTTGAGAGATTCTGGGGCAAGGTTGAGGATAACACGCGCAGCCCGCCGTCTTCTTGCCTGCTTCGGTCGCAGGCAAGGACGAGGATGCAGAGAGACCAGTTTAACCCTTCTGCGGCCTCCACTTCAGGGTCTGGCTTATATAAGGCCGGGGCTTTGATGTCAACCTCTCCCTGGAGCCAATGGCAGGGGGGCTGGGAGGAGGAAAGGGGGATGGCCGTCCCTGGTTTTAAGCTCTGCCACTCGACTCAAGCCGCCTACGGGGACAGGGAGGCGCCCAGTCTCCGCCCCTCCCCCTTTCTCCCCACCCACCCTCGTCCCCAGTTCCCGAGTTGGGGCTTCGTAATTGAGGCACAGGCCTGTCAACGCCCAGGTCGCCGTCTGCCACCCCCTCCCCGTGTGCCCAAGGAAAGGAATCATGGAGTAAAAAGGCCTTTACCTAGATTTTACAGATAGGGAAACTGAGGCGCCGAAAAAAAGAAAGGTTCTCATTTCTAGACCTTCCAGAATCCAAGATAAGAATTCCAGAGGTTCCCAATCCTGAGCTCCATCTGCTCTACTTGGCCTCAGAGCCAGAAAATGAGAGCGGGATGCTGGTGCAGGACAGCCCCCTAACGTTCTGCCCTAAGCCTCCCCAGTCCTTAGGCGCCGGCCCATCCGGCCGCACCGCAGCAGGCCCCGCAGCTGGCAGAGCATCCGCCAACTTTGGTCAAGTCTCGTATCTGCAGCGCAGGCGGCCATTCACCGGAGTAGAGGTCGGGGACAGGAGGTGGGAGGAGATGGGTGGCGAGTAGGGAGAGGAGGGCTCTGGGCCCACAGGCATTTACTAGCTTGTTCCGGGCTCCAGAGCTTGAGATCACTCTTCTGGCCTCGGGGCGCCTGATCTAGTCCAAAGACCGGCCGGCTGACGAAGGGGCAGCCTCCTCTCCGCCGAATTCGAACGGAGGGCCCAGAACTCAGCTACGTTGGGCCGCTGCATGCAGGCCACCGCAGCTTTGGCGTTCGATTCTCGGCGCCAAAGCTCACACTGCGAGAAATCAGCGTTTGGCGGTGAACTTACACCGAGGAGACCACCACCTCAACACTCTGCAGGGCTCACGCGGTGGGAGAAACTTACTACCCACTGGCGTAGAGACACCGTCCTGGCCGCGCAGACCTTCGCGATTTTACCTCCCGACAGGGCCCTTCCGCTCGTCGGATTCTGTCCCCAAGGGCCTTTCTCTGGGCTGCCACTGGGGCTTGGGAATTTCAGGGTGGCCGCGCTTGCGACTGAAATTCTCAGTCTTACCTCCGTGATGGGGAGCTTCCCAGCTGATGTCCTCATACCTGGGCGCCTCCAGCCTCACCCGCCTTTCCCAGCCAAGCCCCTTCCCTAGGTTGGGTAGAGGGAGTGTACCCCTTCTCTCAAAAACAATGTGGAGGGGAGGGCGAAAGGAGAAGAGAAATACATGTCTGCTCTTTTTAGACGTCAAATTTACTTCTTCACCCATTTTTTCAACAAGTATTTGCGTGTACAGTAAATATTTGTATTGACCCCTGCTATGTGCCTTGCACACTTAGCAACCCAAAGGTAGAGGGAGAAAGGTCAACTAGCTCATTGCACAGATGGGAAAAGTGAGGCCCGGAGATGAACGATTTTCCTTGGGCTCGGGTAGCCAGTGGATACACAGTATTCTTCTTCTGTACAGAAGGAATGGGGACAGTGCAGGGGGGGAACGGACAAATACTTTGTCCAGAGCCGGTTCCACTTGTGGGAGCTCGGCCGGGCTGTGGGCCCTGGAGGTGCGTGGGGGAGGGAGATCCCTGTTTCCTGCCTGAGGCGGCTGGAAACCCGCCGCTCTCCTGGGCGCCTGGCGCCAGCAGCGCTGGGGTTGGGCCGAGCGCGGAGCCGGAGGCTCGCAGGGAGGGAGCACCCCCGCGCCCAGTTGAGCCGCGGCTCCGCGGAGTCCCGCGCCTCCCTGGCCTGAAGGCGCTCGGAATTGAGGGTGTGCGGGTAGAGACAGTAATGACTCTGTGACGGACCTCAGTCGACACACACCCAGCCGTGGTCCTAGTCCGGCTCGATCTCTCAGGACCACCGTTACACATGTGCATATAGATGCACGCAGCCTCACAAAAAATCACCAGCATACACCGAAGTCTAGGCATTCATGCAGACGCCACAAAATATGCATATTATCTCGGTAACCTATTTACACCCATGTGACATACAACAGCATTTCAATTTTCATGCATTCCTAGGATTTTACACGTTATCTCTTCGTCACCCACGGAGCGTGCATCTAGCTTCAGATGTGTGACAGCTCTGGGCCACTCCCAACCCTCCATGCAGGCACACTTACAGACACCATTACCGCAGAGACACATCAGCTCCACACAAATAGCACCGCTGAAGGGCTTGACATATACTCTTACTGTCACACTTGTGCACAGGCCCAACCAGTTTCTATCTGTTTCTTCCTGTATTTCTTACTGTATACAGTATTTATAACACAAACTTCTGAAAACCCATCCCACATTTCATGCATTCTCAGTTCTCACAGACACACATAAGTACAGTCACAATTACTACTATATATGCACACGTGCTCAGAAAAAGTTTTCACATGTTCGTCCATTACACACAGGCACACAAATTCCAAACACTGAGACAGATTGACATCCATTCTGTCATACCCACATAGTCACAGTCACAAGCCCTGGAGGTGAAGTTAACAACAGTATGCACATTATCACAGCCCCCCTCCCCCCCTGCCGTGATAGGTAGGTAGGTACACACAGTGACCCACACACTCCCAGCTCCAGCACCCACCCTCATGTGTCGCGAGCATTTTCCAAGGTTACATAGGTCACTCAGGGTGATTTGAATACTCTCCAAATATCCAACCTGGTTAGTGTGGTAGGGAATGCATTATCAGTACTGAATGATGAATCCCAGTCTCATGAGATGTCTTGAAGGGTCCCCAGATCTCCTGGCAGTCCCTTCTGGGTTGTTAAAGAGCAGGGTATGTGTAGTCACCTGGGCCCTAGAAAGCACTGCTCTCCACCCAGAGTCAAGAGGTTGAAGTAGTTCTCCTAGCAGAGCGGCTCCAGAATCTGGGACCACACCCCTCGGGGACCACTGGGGCTCAGACTGGCAGCACCCAGGGGAATGGATGTCAGGGAGATGGCCTGAGTAGAACACAAGGCGCCTAGGCTTCAGACCCACCTTCTGGGAGACCCCCAATGGGCTTTGAAGTCCAACCTGGCTTAGATGCGTGTGGATCAACAGTGGGGACCAGGTAAAGGTATTCTGTCTCCCCTTCCCAGGCTCTTTGGTATGCGAGGTCTGAGACCCAGGAGTTTAGATGACATTTTTCTGAACTGAGAGGCGAGAGATGAGCATGGAGTTCTGGTTTTACCTAGCACCTCACTGTGTTCCTTTCCCTCTCTGAGCCTGTTTCCTCATTTTCAGAAAAGGGGGATAAAACTGATAGTCTGGAAACGGGAAATTCCCAGCTCTGGGCTATTTCCCGGACCCCGGCTCTAATTCCTCTCTAGGGGCTCTCAGACCTAGCTCTTGGCTTTTGGGCTCCACTAACAAAAGGACTCTATCCCACCCCTCACAACCACAGACCAAAGGAGCGGGAGTCAGGGACTCAGGAGTGGGGTGGGCCGTCCTATCCGCCAGTCTCACATTCCCCCCACCTCACCTCCCTTCCGCATCCCGCGGTGCTCGCTCCGGTAGCGTCTTCGGGAGGTGTGGCACTCCCAGCATTTTTAAACGCTCTCTTCTTTCTCCAATTAGGCTAGTGAGGTCGTGCGAGAACCCTCATTCCATTTTACGGGGTCTTAAGCACAAAGAGGTTAAAAATGTGTATTAAAGGAGCGTTTAAGCGAGTCTCGCTGGAGAATCGCGCCCGCCCACCCGGACTGAAACTCCGCATGGGCATTCATCCTGTCCAGGTGTGAAACTTCGCATCCTCTGTAAACTGGGGTGCGGTTATACCCGCCGCAGAGGGCTGGTGTAAGATTAAGCGAAATTATATAGGTGAAGCTCCTGGCACCTGATGGTAAACCTGGATAAATGGTGGCTCTGTTTTTATGAGTACAATATTAATTCCACAGGGAAAGTAAGTTACCGCGTCACTACATAGCCCGGGTGAGGGAGGGCATCCACCATCCCCTCGCAGGGCTCTGTTCTGAGCTGACGGCTCCCGTTTCTGACCGTATCGAGCCTCCGTCTTTCCCCACCGACCCTCCAGAACTCCACTGTCAGGAAGGAGGCTGGAGATGGGGGATACCGAACATCTACAGGTCGGGGATAATGTTGCCAGAGTCCTGAATTCCAGTTCCGGATCTCACCCACCCGCATTTCATTTGCTGAAGTGTTTGGCGGTATAGTTACCGCCTCCTCCAGGACTCAGTTCTCTCATCCGTGCAGTGGACCGGCTGTATTCAAGCCTCAGACGCCTGGGAGTCCTTCTCCGGCCCGCCCTACTCCTCCCCTTACTCCCGCCCCTGGGACTGGCAGGCCTGGAAGAGCCTGAGCCGCGGCGCCTACCGCAAAACTGTCTCCTGCTGCGTTCCGTGACCTTGACGCCACCAGCAATCCCCGCACCGGACCCCTTATCTAAATAGGGCCGTAAATCAAGGACCTGTCAGGGCCCGGGTAATTACAGGAACTCCATAAAAAGGACCCGGCCGGCCGCCTGTTTATATTAGCGCGGTGTAAAATATTCTTGCTGTCTTGAGGAATCGCGTCGCGCAGTAACGCGCCATAAATCAGCCCGCGGGCCATTTACCCCGCAGCTTGAGTGCGCAAATCCCTTAAACATTTCTCTGCCGCATCTAGAAAGTCTAGGACTTTCCACTCTGGCCCAACCTGCTCCCCAGGGTTAACCCTGGAGTGGGGTGCGTGTGGGGGGTTGGGGGAACAATCGGGGCAGGGAAGAGACAGAAAGGTGGGTCTATATCCCCGAGATGTTCCTGGGGTGAGCTTTTGCCTTCACCAGTGTGTGAGAGTAGCAAGACTACTGAGATTTCGTGTTAAAACCTGCTGAGAAACCTAATCAAGAGAAGGGAAGGGTCTTCCCTAAGGACACACAGCCGAAGGGTGGCAGAAACTTGCAGCTGAAGCCTAGTCACCTAAAGGAGACCTGGATTCCACGGAAGCCTCTGTCTCCTCTTATGTCCCCCTTTCCTGGGATGAGGTGTGGCCAGAGAGTGTCCAAGCCACCAGCTGACATTCCACTGTCTATCGTTTAGCTTCGAGAACCCCCGAGCTTCCTGCAACTGTGCACAAAATTATGTGCGCATGCTATTCTATGGCGGGGTTGGAGGGGAGCTCTAATTCCTAGTCCAGTCCCCCTTGTTTTACAGGTGGCAAAACAGACCTAGAGGATGGGGAGGCACAGCTAGAAATCGGAGACCTTGCTGCTAAAATAATCCCTTCTGGTTTATCTCCCCCACACTCTTTCCTAAAGAAAAACTAAGATTGTGCGGTGTGTGTGTGCATGGGGGGTGGGGGAATGAAACCCTGTCCATTCTTAGGTTTGTAACAGCCTCAAAATTACGGAATCTATTTAAGGTAAACCTGATGCTGCCCATTGCCCAATGCCTAACACAAATCAAGCTTATGGAAAAAGAATATTAAATTTTCCACGTTTTCCCTCGGGTCTGGAACCCCAGGATTCAAGGGAGAATTAAACATTTTCCTCTCCCATTCCCTTTCTCTTCCGAAGTCCGTAAATGACAACGTGTTTACACAAGTTTTTATGTCGTCTGAGCTTCGTCCCGGCTCCGCTTCCTCCTCTGTGTATTTTCCGCGCAGAGAGATGTCTGCTTCAGGACGCGTTCAACCTAAACAGAACCCCGTCTGATTGGAAAATGTATTTATTTGAAAAATCGTAACTCACAGCTTTGGTGAAAACGGCCCCCAAATTTATGGGATGGCTTGGGGCGCGGCGGTCGTAAATTAAAAAGCACTGGACAACCCCCTCCCCCAATCCCCGCAGCGGCACCAGTCAGGTTCTCAGGAGCACCCAAGAACTAGCCCCCTCCCCGCTCCACCCCGCCGCAGTCTGCAGCCTCAGCTCCGGCCTCTTGCTGTGGCTAAGTGGCTGTGTTAGGAGGCAGGTGGATTTCATTCTGGTTCCTTTCACCCAGTCGGGTTAATTTCAGGGTAGCCTCACTGCGACCTGTTTCAGGTGGTCGGTTCACAGTGAACAGTGCTCTGTTGTGCACCGGTCTGTTTTAGGCATCTCGGGTTTTCTCTTTAAGTCCACGCTGGTAAGTTTCGTGGTGGCGGGCTGCTTGTCCCCAGTCCCTAACCGAATGATCCGTGGTGTGCCAGGCTGTCTCATGCCAAGAGGTTTACCTCTGGTCAGTGTCATGGTCAGTTTCACCGACCGACTCCTGCTGCCCAGGTCAGGGAAGTTTTTTCCTTTCAGCCCAATCTGAATTCCCCTGGAGGATGGAGTCAACACACTCCGCCTAGTTGCGCTATCCTTCAGCCAGCCTGCGCTAGCTGAGGACTAGGATTAGAGGCTGGAACTGCGAGCACATCCTGGGGGACAGGCGCCGCGGCCGCCGGAGGTGGGGAGCCGCGTAGTCCAGGCGGACCTGGACGCGTGGGGCCTTCACCAGCAATCATCTGCTTCCTTCTGCAAACCCGGGCTGAGCCATATTGCTCCGTCTTTCCCCCCCCCCCGCCCCTTCACTAACGATCAAGCGCCACTTTGGCAGCATACCCACGGGGAGTAAGGCAAGGTCTCCGCTCCCAGTTTGTCTGTCTAAGCGCTGCTGCCTCTGGGAGAGGCGTTTAGCTACTTAAAACTTATGCCTTTTGCACTCGTTTCTTCAAGGTAGGCAAAGGAGCGCTCTGGAGCGACGCAGTTAAGCGCAGGAAGAGCCGCAAAGTAGTGCGGGAATCCCAGAATCCGAGGTGGTGCGGTAACTCATCCCAACCGGTTCTGCCGCGGCCACCTGCCTCGCAAGCCACTGATGTATACGCAGTAACGTTAGTTGGCAGAAATGCAATACCTTTATTAGGCAGAGAAAACCCAGTTAGATTAACCTAGTCCGTCCAGGGTGATCAAGAACTGGTGTGAGGTAGCATGGGCCCGCAGTGGTGAGGGGACAGAGCGCTGCTCTTCCGCCAGGTTCCCTTAACGCGGGGGGTCTCGGGTGGGACAGGGAGGACAGCCCTCCTTCCTCAGGCCTGCTTCCTTCCAATCTAAAATGGCCTTGCTCTAACGGGTGTTGGGATCTGCACATTCTCCTCCGCCCCGGACAGCACTAGAGCCAGAGATGGACTTTCAGAGCTGCTTGGAGTCCGAGGTATTAATCTTGGAAACATCTATGCTAAGCCTTTCCGCACTGGGTTGGGAGGAAGAGATCAGCGGCTGGCTACACTTACTGGTGAACATTCCGGGCTGCTCAACTCTTCTTTCTGCGTAGAGGCGCTCAGAACCCGAGCCTGTGGGCAATAAACGATATCATTATTAATCTTATTATTTTAAACCGGGCCAGACTACATCTGTCATCTTTCCCATAATGGTCAATTGTAAACACACTTTACAAGAGAAAAACAAAAAAAGGGATTTAATGCTGATGTTGGGAAAATGCTTAGCACTGGCGTTGCTGGGGAATTGGCAGGCTCTCCAGTCCTAGTGCTTAGTAGTTTTTTTGGTTTTTTTTCCCATTGAGTTTCTAAATCTCTCAGGGGTCTTTCTTTGTCTCTTTAGTTTATCGAGAGAAGTCCGAATCAGTGGGCCTTGCCTTGGAAATCAGGAGAGAGTGGAATAGGAACCTGCAAACTTGGCAGACAGAGTCTTGATCGTTTTCACTGTCACTGTCAATCTTCTTACCAACCTGGTCCTCAGTTTCAGCCTCTTTCTGCCCTAGTGTTCCCCTTGCTGCAGCAGTGCGTTGGTGTGGAGCAGGGAGATGAGAGATAAGCGAATGATAGAAAAAAACAGAAATCAGAAAAGAAAGGCAAGAGGCATGTGTGGTGACTGGCGAAAGGGGAAGGATGCTTTGGTTTTATCTCATTATCAAATATTAGAGCAGGTTTCCTTCCAGAAAGTCTGAGTTTGACTGCCTTTTCTTGGTATAAACATCTCTGTCTAGCCACAGAGACACTCCTGTCCTCTCACACACACACACAACTACCCCCCCCACCCACCCACCCTCCACACACACACCACAGGACACAAGATTGTCCTCATCAGCTTACCCAGACCATCCAGAGCATGGAGCAAAGAATAACAAAAAAGTCACAGCGAAACCCAGCTCCCAAACTCAAACCAACTGCTGCCGGTTTTTAAATTCATTTTCATCTATGTAAGCAAGCCCCCAACCCTGCCAAAGTCTATTTTTTAAAACAACGACAAAGGTGACAGGAGAAAGAGAGAACAGAGAGGAAAGCCTAGAAACCAGAGCAGAAATTAATTCAATTACCTCTTTTCCCCTGCCATAAATTCCACAGAGGAAATCAAATCTTTCTGTGCATGTGTGTAAAACCCGATCAGTCTATGGAGCTTGCCGAAACCCATTATGTCTTAAACTGGGTATCCTAATTGGATGAATGTGAATGTACCAGGCAACCAGGCATCAACTGAGCCGGGATTTTCCAATGGCATTCTCCACGGAGCCAGAGAGGATAAACATCTTTTGGAACCACATGCTAATCAGTTTGCCCTCAGAGAAGGGGAACCTGGGCACAGAGGCATCCTAACATTTTGCGTCAGATTGTAATGGAATATTTCTTGTAAACAGCCGAGTGTCTCTCCCAGGCACTCACCTAACATGTTTCTTGTTGTTTAAGTTCAGATCTGACAGATGATGATAACCTGGAAAAGAGAGAGGTTGTAAATGCTGAGGACTGTAAGGCTGGGCAGTGTAAAGGACGCCTGCTCGAGAGCTGGGACAGAGCTGTGATTTGTAGGACCCCAAAAACTTGTCAGGCCGCTCGGGGCAAGCAGGGCAGCCGGGAGAGGGGAATAGCGTTCCAGGGGGGAGAAGCACACAGAAAGGAGAGCTATGGGCTGCTTGCTCCAGGAAGCACGCCGCTTGTTTTGTGTTCCGTTTTGTGAGATGGAGACTGCCCCCTCCCTCGGACCCTCCCCACGTCGCACTCCCCTCTCTCAGGGGCACGCTGATTTATAGCACCTGTTAGGAACACATAATGGATGCAATTAGCTGTGGCACTAGAGGAAAAACTTAACAGGAAGAGTTGACTTTATTCCAATAAAAGATAAATGTGTCTGTTTTCATGAACTTAGCTCATTAATTTCAACTTCTGGAGCCAGTTTTTTTTTTTTTTAGAAAAATCATTGCTGTTTTCTTCTTGAAACTCATGCGTTCATTCTCGAAGTTTAGTAGGTATCACACTCCCCTTGTTGAGCAGGTTTCTAACACAGGGAAGAGGAGGAGTGGAAATGGGATGGGATCTGCATTTCAAGAAAGTCCTTTAGTAAATTCTGATTCAGGAGCCAGGGATATTTTAGACTTACATCCCTCAGGTAGAGACTCAGGAATAACCTATTTAATGACAACAATTCTTTGTCTTGGTAACTGTGTGACTAGCAAAGTTAATATACATACACAGTTAAATATGACAGTGTCTGTTGTGGAAAATTTATAAGATATAGAAAAATATAGGAAGAAAAATCAAAACTTCCTTGATCCTAACAGGTTATTTAAGCTCCCTGGGCTGTAAGCTTTCTCCACAGAATCCTATAGATCCCCAAAGGAGACAAGGCTCTTGTGTTCATCTGTTCTAACCCTTAGCACCCAGCACACACCTGGCAGACAGTAGGACCTCCAAAAATTATTCACCAAAAGAAATAATTGGTTAAACAAAACTGTAGGATTTGATGATCTCTAAAGGTACTTCCAACCCTGACATTCTATTTTTCATTCTCTGCTCTAGGGAAAAAATGTAATTGCATAAACTCAGATATATTTGTCACCGGGACTCTTGACATTTAAACAGGTGTGTTTTTCTTCTCCATGTCTTGTCACTTGATCTGACAGCTTTCTGCTGCTCTATCTGATGTTAGTTTAGGGTTGTCCTTGCCTGAGGCAGCCCAGCTATCGCCGTGGACTGGAACTGAGCGGGGCGGTCCCCACCTTGTACCAGACAGAACAGTCAGAGTAGATTTTTGAAGACTCCAGCAAAATGGCACAGCCTAAGAAAGAAGATAGTGGGGTGTCTGCTGTTCACAAATGTGAATCTTGGGGCCTTACCTGGCAGTCCACAGTGGTTAAGACTCTGGGCCTCCAATGCAGGGGGTATGGGCTCAATCCCTGATTGGAGAACTAAGATCTCGCGTGCAGCACAGTGTGGCCAAAGCAGTTCTCTCCCGAAACCATGAGCCAGGCCCCTCTCCTTCTGTCTGGCTGTACTGATGGCAGTGGCAACGGCATTAACCTTTAGTAGAGGGCCATGCCCTCTACACAGACTCTCGTTGAATCCTCTGAGCAACACTCTTAACTCCATTTTATAGATGTGGAGTTAATGCCCAAGGCCACTCAGCTAGGACACTGGAGAAGTAGAATTAAAACCCAGGTCTCCTTGATTCCAGAGTTCTTGCTTTTAACCATTATAATGATGTGTGTGTTAGGGGGTAAGTAAGGGTATGAGTACAGCTGGGAACTTCCCCAGTGGCTCAGCAGTAAAGAATCTGCTTGCAATGCAGGAGCCACAAGAGATACAGGTTCGATCCCTGAGTCAGGAAGAGGAGGGCATGGCAACCCACTCCAGTATCCTTGCCTGGAGAATCCCCATGGCCAGAGGAGCCTGGCAGGCTACAGTCCATAGGGTGGCAAAGAATTGGACATGACTGAAGTGACTTAGCACACATGCACAAGGGTATAGTTAAAATGCTAAAAATACTTTTATTTCTCCAACAGTATTTTAAACAAAAAAAATTTATATAATTTTGAAAAGTCCATTGATAGTTATTACAAAATATTGGCTATATTCTCCATGTGGTACAGTCTATCCTTAAGGCCATTGTAAACCCAATAATTTGTACTTCCTACCCCACCCCCACCCCTTAGACTGCCCATCCCCTCCATAACCACTAGTTTTTTCTCTATATATCTGAGTCTGCTTCTTTTTTTTTCTTGTATTCACTACTTTGTTGTATTTTTTAGATTCCACATATAAATGATATCATACACTTTATCTTTTTAAAACATTATTAATTGGAGGATAATTGCTTTATAATGTTGTGTTGGTTTCTGTCATACAACAACATGAATGAATCAGCCATATGTATACATACGTCTCCTGTCTCTTGAACCTCTCTCATACCCCTACCCCCAGTATCTATCTTTTCCGTCTGACTTGCTTCACTTAGTATAATGCCCTCCAAGTCCATCCATGTTGCTGTAAATGGCAAAAATTCATTCATTTTTATGGTTGAATAGATATAACCACATCTTCTTTATCTACTCATCTGGTGGACACTTAGGTTGCTTCTGTATCTTGACAATGATATTTAGTGCTGATGTGAACATTGGGGTGCATGTATCTTTTTGAATTAGTGTTTTTGGTTTTTTTTAATATATACTCAGGAGTGGAATTGTTGGGTCATATAGTGGTTCTATTTTTAGTTTGTTGAGAAAGCTCTACCATGTTTTCAACAGTGACTGCACCAATTTATATTCCCACCAACAGTGTACAAGCATTCCCTTTTCTTCACATCCTCTGCAACATTTGTCATTTGTGTTCTTTTTGATAAGAGGCATTCTGACTGGTGTGAGCTGGTGGTAGCTCATTGTGGTTTGATTTTCACTTTCCTGATGATTAGTGATTTTGAGCGTCTTTTCATATGCCTGTTGGTCACCTGCATTTCCTCTTTGGAAAAATGTTCTCCAACAATATCTTAACAATAATGTACTCTCATGAAAAAAAGAATATAACCTGCCACCCAAACAATGCAACTCTGTCACTCTCTCACCCCCAAACACTATATACTAAGAAACCTTTCTGCTACAGAGTCCATGTTCATCAGTTTTAATGGTAGCATCAGGTGGGCCACAGGTTGCATCTAAAGAGATGATTCATCATAATGAGGTTATCATCTGTGAGGAAAGGTGCCAAATCTGTTCCACTCAGTACCGTATCCCCAGTACTTAGTACAGTACCTACACATAGAATTTACTCAGAAAATATTTGTTGGATGAATGAATGGTAACTTACTTAATACAGACAATTCTGAGGAGAAGTCTCTACTTATATGATTACCCAGAAGTTAATCTTACAATACAGCCCCATCACATGGTAGGTGCTTAGGAAGATGTGGTTGAAGGAATAATCTTGTAGGAAGAGATCTCGCACATGGAATTACTAAAAGAAAGTCTCACCCAAGTTAGCAAAATGGAACTAAAATAGATTCTCCATCTTAGTTAAGTCCCTTGCTGCCTCCTTCATAAGGAATGCCACATTTTCTGATCTCAGCTCTG